GTCGCTCTGCGGCACTTGTTTCTCACAATGGGACCCTGTCACCCTGGTCCAAACTGCAAAGCATGTCTCAATGGAAAGTCACTTCTCCCTCCCCTCTTACCGTAGGACTTTAAAGACCTGGAAAATGTCATTTTAGCATTCTAGAACTACTAGGTTATTCCCAGGATCCAAACGATCCGTGTAACGTTGACTTGATCCTTCATTTGCCTTCAGGCGCGCGAGTGAATGCTATCAAATGGCACGTGATACCGCTGCACTATGCTGTGCACAATAACAACGCGGCGATGGTGATGTTGCTGCTTAGCTACGGGGCGGACACGCGCTTCCTCAACCACCAGTGGCGCAGCTCTTATGAGCTCGCAAACAGCAACGACATGCGTGTGCTCATCAAACGATATGAAGGTATTGCTTGTCACTGAAGATTAAACGTTATGTCTCTAATGTCCTTCTGAGAAAGTTCGTGTTTGTTTAAACTAAAGAGTTAAATATATCAAGATTAGGAGTTGTCTCTTAATTAAGCTTAGGAGTCATTTCTATTAAATTATCTCCCAAATAAAATAACGTGTAGACAGATTAGGTCTCGATTATTGACTTACTACTGATAAAACTGCAAAAGAACAGCAAACTTGTGCTTGCATTCATGAGATACAAGATTCAGGTGCCAATGATGTTGACATGTATAAACAAATCTAGTTCGAAATGCATGTCAGTGCATATATTGGTAGAAAAAATGATGTGTGAATGTTTTAATATATGCTAGCGATACTGTATTATATACACTTGATGTAATGCCAGGAGTACTGAAAAGTATCAGATCACTTATGGAAACATAAGAAATCACTACTTTCAGGCTAAGAGTTATCACTTATGTTCCCCTGAGATAGTTTATATTTCTCTACAGAGGTATTTCTAATAAGAGGTAGGTTTCTAGATATTGCATGCTGACCATGGTTTGTGTGTCATTGCAGCGCACCCGCGGCGATTACAGTCGCTGTGTCGTACCGGCATCCGGCATGCACTCGGACCGGCGCG